TCAAAATATAAAATATAAGCAAGATGAATATGAACTATCAATACAGAAAAGCTAATATGCTTTATTAATTTTAATGGAGACATAGTGACTCCCAACTGAAGAAGGGCAGTAAAGGAAACAATTCAAAGGAATAGAAACCATAGAAAGGGGAGGAGTTCCACTATCTGTTAAAATATCAACTCCTGCTTAGAAATCTAAAGAAATCAATTTAACAATGCTGCAGAGAGCATCTAAATTAAAATAAGTAGTGGAAGAAATAAAAGCAATATTGTTGATGTCTGTCATGGGATCGGTCATCTAACCAATTAGGTGTGGATCCCTTTCAAAAGTTTTTAAAAACCTGCTTTTTTGAAGCAGCAAAAATTCACAAAAAACCAGCAAACTACAGACTAGCTACTCTGACATTGATACTAGGAATGTTCTAAAACAGATTATAAAGAGATTGCTTCCAAAGTTCTTATTAATCAATGTGATACTACACAGCTTTCCAGACTAATTTTATCTCATTTTTGAGTGGGTAAGTTTCTTAACAGATTGTGAGACATAATATATCTTGACATCTGAAATATATTTGATAAATACTGATTAACAAAGTACTTAAGTGTGGGTTGGATAGCATCACAATTAAATGGGAATGTAGCTGTTTCAAAAATCATACTCAGTAGCAGTGACGTGCGGTGAGATTTATGGCTGGTGAGGCACTGACACAGGGGTTTCAAATTTTTTTAGACTTGTGGACTTCAACTCCCAGAATTCCACAGCCAGGCATGCTCAGTTCCGATTTAAAGCAACAGCATTTGTTTTTCTCCTTTGCGAAATAAGTTTCCTTCTTTCTTTTTCTTTTTCTTTTTCTTCTCCCTTCCCCTCCTTCCTCCCTCTCTCCCTCCCTCTCCCTCCCTCCCCCTCTCTCAAACACACACACACACAGACACACAGACACACACACACACGTTGGATTAGAGGGAAAGCACCAGCGAGGAGACCACAGGAGGAGGTAGGAAGCCAGTCAAAGAGCCATACTGGTGGGGCACACATACTTTCCCCCAGCCCCGGAAGGATCCAGCCCAGCTTCACTGATTACAGGTTTGAAAAGGCAACGTGGCTCTGCCTGCAATCAGACTACACTTGGGGAGGGATCTACACTTGAGGATGAAGTTCGAACTCCTCCCCCTCCCTCCGATCCACACATACCTTTTTCAGCTGTTTCAGAGAGCATTTCAACTCTGTTCTTGCCTCGGGTCCCCGCCCAAACGAGTATCCTCTACTATGAGGCAGGAGAACGGCGTGCCTCACCTACATCATGAATTTTTAGGCTTTTAACCCTTGCTTAACTCTGCTCGAGTAATCATAAAACACCTAATATCAGACTAGATGAGGCACACTGTACTCCTGTCTCATAGTAGACGGCACTTTTTTAGAGCCTTTTTTAAACAGTTAAGCACTAAGCAGAGTCATCCAC